GGGGTAAGGGGAGGGGGTGGGAGGGGGGAGAATAGGGGAACCCATGGCTGATATGTAGAACTGAATGGTATTGTAAAATAATATATATATATATATATATATATATATATATATATATATATATATATATTGCATGCACACATGTATGTGCACCTTAAGTGTGCCACATGCTTGAAGAGACCAGAAGGGGGTGTCAGATCCCCTGGAACTGGGGTTACAGGCAACTATGAACTACCATGTAGGTGCTGGGAAACAAACCCAGCAAGAGCAGCCCGTGCACTTAACTACTGAACCATCTCTTCAGGCCCATCTTCTCCTTTTTTTGAGGCTTTGCTCTGTAGGCTGGCCTCAAAACTATGGTGATCCCCTCACCTCTACTTCCTGAGTTCTGGGATTACAGATGAAAACTGCCATGCCCAGGCCGCCATAATAATCTTGAAAAGGAACAAAGTTGACAGACTTATGCTTCTCATCTTTAAAACTTAACGACCTAGCCACAGAAATCAATACCTGGTGGCATTGGCTTGAGAATGGATCCACAAGCTAGGCATAGTCATACACACATTTAATCCCAGCCCGCAGGAAGCAGAGGGCAGGTATAGGGTTGTGAGTTCAAGGCTTGGCCAACATAGGGAGTTCCAGGCCAGCCAGGGCTACATAGTAAGAACTTGTCTCAAAAACAAAACAAACAGAAAGAGGAGCTTGAGCAGGATCGAGTTCAGGGAGAGACCCACGTGCTAACATCGATTGATTTTGGACAAGGACACCAAGTAATTCAACGGAAGAATGAACAGCCTTTGAATAGATAGATGGTGCTAGAATCTTCATGGACAACACACACACACACACACACACACACACACACACACACACACACGCATTAAACCACATTAAACCACAACTATGGAGTTGTGACTTTGTGCCAGACACAAAAACCAACTAAACAGATGAAACTCCAAATGTAAAGGCTAAAGCAGAAAACTCTTCCAAGAAGACTTAGGGTCTTACAGCCTTGAATTCGACTACGTCTTCTCCCATGTGTCAGCAAGGACACAACAGAAGGAAAAATAGACAAGCTGGACTTCATCAGAACCTGAAGACTTATTTTTATTTTCTCCAAGATCTATTTTCTTTTCACCTTTCCCCTGACATGGGGGAGTTGAGGAGGCAGAAACCTGGGGGCACTGGTTTCGCTTCTCCCGAACACCGCAGCCCACCTCCGTGGCTGAGGACGGCATCGCTGGCGGGAGGTGTAGTAGACACCAGGACTGCTCCACAAGAGTCGAAGAACTCCGTGGTGGAATTCACGGAGCTGCCAAATCTTAAGACAAGTGTCAAGCCCAGCCTTGTGTACATCAAACCGCGGTGAGCCAACGCACGCCAAATTAGCGGAGGCTCTTTGTGGTGAGTGCGGTCATCCTAACTAAGGCTGAAAACAAGCAGAACCTAGGTGCTGTAGAACACTGTTCTAAGGTGTGTTCCTTTTGTTTCTGCTGCATTTAACTCTGTGAAACTGTGTTACTGTGCCTGTCTAAAACACCTGTTGGGCTAATAAAGAATTGGCCAATCGCAAGGCAGGAGAAAGGATAGGCCGGGTTGGCAGGCAGAGAGAATAAATAGAGAAAGAAATCTGGGAGGAGAGAGATCAAGGAGCCAGAGAAGGAGGAGGGTTCTGGGGGTCAGTCACCCAGCTTCACAGCAAGCCATGGAGTAAGAAACGAAGAGAGGTGTACAGGAATAGAAAAGGAAAAGCCCAGAGGCAAGAGATAGTTGGGATAATTTAAGTTAAGGCAAGCTGGCTAGACACTAAGCCAAGTTAAGGCTGGGCATTAATGATTAAGACTAAGCCTCCATGTGTAATTTGTTTGGGAGCTGGGTGGCAGCCCCCCCCCCAAAAAAAAAAAGACTAAAAACCGCCAACAACACCCAGAAGAATGGGCAGGCCTCTGCAGAACTGACGGAAAGGGAACCCCGCAGGGTGGCTGGTTGCAGTTTGTGTAGTGGTTAAGGGCCGTGGAAAGAATCTCAGGCCCAGGATGTCTTTGAAGAGCACTTCAAATACAAGAGAGGGAGAAATTTTAAAAATATTATGCTCAAAACAGGAGCATAACACAGCTTAGGGTGATGGAGTTTTCCAGTGTAGGCATAACTAAAAAACCCATCATGGTAGCACATACCTAAGGTTCTAAAACGGGACGCTGAGGCAGGGGGAATCATGAACTTGAAGCTTGTCCAGGCTGTATAGAGACCTGGCGGAAGACAAAAATGGAAAAACAAACAAGGCCATGCTGATTAGCTTTGCCTCCTGGGAAGTGGTTCTGGCAATGTCACAATGGGCTGTATCAGGAAAGGAAGGTGGCCAACCGATGGGTCAGGGCCTAGTGCAGTGGAATAGCGACTCAGCTCAGGTAGCCTTGGTAGAGATGGAGAGCAAGGGAGAGATTCAAGGTCAAGACTTCCTTCTCCCCAAGGTGAAGCACCCTGACGAGCTACTGGGACAGACAAGTCAGAGCCACGGGCTGAAGGGGGTCCAGCCAAAGGTGGTCATTGAGGCCACAGTGCGGGTGAGATGGTGTGGATCCTGGGGCACCACAAGAAACAACAGTGTTTTAGAATCTTGGTATCAAGTGGAGGAAGACAGTGGAGGGTTGGCCGGGAGGCTCAGTGGAACACCTGCCCGAACCACAGAGAGAAGGAAGTGTTTCATGTGGTGGTCACAGGATCATGGGCGGCCTTGTCCAGGCCGAGTCCATGCAGCAGGCAGTGGCAGAGGCCTCAAGTGGGAAGAAAGGAGGTGATGAGGAAGTGGAGACCATGCAGAAGCCGGCCAGGCCCAGACTTGAGTGTGAACAGTGGGGGTGGGGGATGGGAAGCGTTTGGGGCTGCAGGTTCTCCTGACACACAGGACAAGAGCTCTGGTTTTCTTTCTTCCTTTCTTCCTTCTTTTCTGACAGGTTCTGGCTATTGTAGCTCAGGCTGGCCTTGGACTCTTCTCTTGCCTGGGCCCCTCAAGTGCTGGGG